TTTTCCTGGGTTAGCTTCTTTGCTTCTCGCAGCAATTCCAGGACAGGTATTAGTCAGCCCGTCAAAAGACAGCAAAACCTGCCCGAGGTCACAAAGTGAAATAACCTTCTAAAAGTGAGTCCAACTCTTCTTAAATGGCTGACTGCACAGGGTAGGCCAGCACAGTTCTCACGGAGCCACTGCTCTCATCCCTGTGTACTTACACGTGGTGTATCTATTTTTAAGGCCTCAGCAAATTTAAATCTAAATGCTAATTCTCCCTTCTCCTCTCAGAAAACGTCTTTTTCAATGTCTGCAGTCAGCTGCCATTCTAAAGTATCACAAATTCAAGGCTTTATTCTACTAGAAACATGAGCACGTTTGTCATCAACTACTCATACCACTGGTGATTTTTAAGTAACAAATTACCAAGCGTTCACAATGACACCCTTTACTTACCGAGACAATGTTGTTTTCCCAGAACCAGGCAGGCCTCTTAAAAGGATAAGTAACTTCTCCAATTTATGCAGCTTTTCCTCCTGAAACTCCTGGTTCATAAACACGTCTGTTCCATTCCACGGGTCCACGGGAGGGTCTCTCCAGAATTCTTCTCTGGCTTCACAGAAACCATTGCTCACACGTCCATTGTGCACTCGGCAGTCATCTCTGGGAGGATGGACAAAGCTGCTACTCTCACGAGAGTCAGCGTACTTATCATCCTGGTCAGAAGTCAGACAAGGCCAGCTAACGGGACAACTATTTATATAACATCCATTGTGCAGCTGAGACTCATCCTGGGTGTGGAAGATACTTGACAGTGGCTTTGGTGGAGGATTAAATCTCTGAGGATCTAAATGATAGTTAAAACTAGGAAGAGGAGGAGGAAGAGGACCACGGGGTACTATAAAAGAAGGCATCGACTGCCATTCGGGCCTGAAGGAAGTAAACGAAATATCACAAAATGTAGGTACTGCTTGTCCGTCACAGGGGTACCTGCCTGGTTCAGTCCCCAAGTACTCCTGATACCTGCAATGTAACAGAGGAGCGTTCCTAAGCTCTCCTTTCTCTTTGTCATCAGATCTTAACAGATCCTTACGATGGTCCTGGTAATACGGAGCCAGCTGTTCCCGAGAGGGTTCGGGCTCCTGACAATGGCTTTCCAAATCATCTTGTTCATTTTCAAGCTCCTCAATTTCTTTGTAAAACTGGAATAACTCCTGGTCAATCTCAGATTTTTTGGAGTTAGATTTGTGTTTCTTTTCTTGTCCTCCTTTGTCATTTTCACCATGGATGGTGTCTGCCTGGTTCCTTCTTTCACTGCATTTCTTTTTCTCAGGGGGCTTGTAAACGGGGCCTATAAATGCTTTACTTGTACTATATATCCCGTCGTCTCTGGATGTTACTGGGAGACTTGCATCCTTTGGAACTGGTGACTCAACGCGTTCAATAGCCTCTGGTCTGCTTCGAGGCTCCGCGTCATGCAAAGGCTTCAACAGATCCGCAGTTTTGCTTTTGTCCCCCTGAGGAGGACCAGCTCCTTTGAAATCAACGGTGGATACAGGGACCCAATCATTCCCAGTTTTCTCCTGGATTCTGCAGAAGTCAGCTCCAGCATGATGGGAGAAAACCCAGGACTCCTCAGTTGGTTTCAGTCTTTTGTAGTGTGGTCCACTGACGAGTTCTTCTCCATGACCCAAGGATTTCACTTCCATCTCTCCATAAGGCATCTGAGGAGCAAATAAACCATATCACGGAGAGCTGATATTTTAAATCGGAGCCCTGGTGACACAACAGTAAAGAGCTCAGCTGTTAACCAAAAAGCTGGTGGTTTGAACCCACCCAGCGTCTGTGCAGGAGAAAGACCTGGCAAACCGCTCCCATTAAGATGACAGCCTAGGAAACACTACGCGGGCAGTTCTCCTCTGTGACGTGGGGTTGCTGTGAGTTGGAATCGACTCAGTGGCATCCAACAACAACAACCAGTGAAAACAGCTGAAAATCAACTCAACGGCACCTAACATTTAAAAAATATAAACAACAGTGTCTTCAAAAACAAGAAATTAAAAAAGACTAAATTTGTGACATAGGCATTTAATACTAACATCTTCCCAAAATATTAGTCAAATTGTCATTTTATAATCACTTACTATTTAAGTATTGTCATCAATTGAGTTAAGGTAAGTAAAACACTGAAAGTAAATCTCCCTGAAGCAAATATCACTTTAAAAAAAAAAACACATCTCACTTCTAATCTACATGATCCATTTTTGAATTTAGAGAATTTGAAGAACTAAGCTTGGAAAGTTTAATCAATAATACGTATCTAGATGATATAGATCACAATTGTGTACTAGGAAGTCAAACTGCCAACCCAATTAACACTCACACTGACACAGGCCTGCGGTAAATTGTATAACAAACATCTTCCTGTTTAAAATCACTGTGTCTTTAGGAGTAAATGGTTCCATCTAGCAAACCTCAAACAACCACACCTCCTTAGC